AAGTACTTCGGTAAAATTGGTAAAACACAATATAAATAATTCTTAGCATTTTGTAGCATGCTTTATGAATTGTGTTGAATTTCATGTAAACAAACATTGAACTTTTTACATGCATTGTATTCGTTGCTATGGAACCCATAAAAAATATCGATTGATACAGTGAGGAATGAAAACTATTACATGGCAGTATTCATTTGATTAAATGAAAAAAGGTAATATGTGTATTTATCTAATTACCTGTATATTAAAGTTGAGCTCTGAGATTATTCATAGAGCTTTATTGGGTTAATTATATGAGATATTTGATTGAATTTGTCTGAATTTGTGTGAAATATATAATAAAATTCAAATTTCAATGCATAGTACCACGTTTAAATGCTGAAGATGATTTTTGCTTCCCGACTGATCATGTGTTCATATTACTTTTGCCAACATTTTTGAATAGTATTCATACGTACAAACAGTCTGTTCTGTTCGAAATTACTGCAAGCCATTGTAATTCAATTAGTAATATTTAATAGTCAACATTTCCATGATCCCCTTGACAACAAGCAAGTTATTTGCTTTTAAAAACACAGCATGATTGGATTATTTTAGGGTGATCATTTGCTACTAAGCAATGCTTGTTTTTATTTGGAAATTCATTTAGACTCGTCTTTTCTCCACCAACTATAATAAAACCAGTGCATACTACATTAAAATACTGAGTAGTTTTTGTTAATTTTAACAGTTTGTGAGGCCAATTGCAAAACCAAATTAAGGCATTTGATGTTTCCCAGATGCCTAAATTAGAGTGGAATCTAAAGTATATACAGTAATTTGAGCCAAACAAAATAAGGGGAAAAAATGAGTATCTAGACCCTAATAAAGCTTTATGAATGCTCTCAGAATACAGCTTTCAGATCATTTTTCTATTTTAGTTGAGGCACATGTAAAACACGAGGTGGCAATCACAAATACATTTCAAACCGAGCATGCAAGCCAGGATGTATTTAGCAATGAACTTTACACACAGAGTACGAGTTCAGTTGTTATATATAAATCACATTTGCTGATTTAAATGATGATTAAGATTTAGAACTTTTTCTGTAAATGATGAACAACTGAATGAATATTAAGCAATGTGGCCATTCCTTACCTCCTGAGAGTACTGACCATCATGGACCAGTAAATGAACAACTGAATGAATATTAAGCAATGTGGCCATTCCTTACCTCCTGAGAGTACTGACCATCATGGACCAGTAAATGAACAACTGAATGAATATTAAGCAATGTGGCCATTCCTTACCTCCTGAGAATACTGACCATCATGGACCAGTAAATGAACAACTGAATGAATATTAAGCAATGTGGCCATTCCTTACCTCCTGAGAGTACTGACCACCATGGTCCAGTAAATATAATTCAGATTCCTTGGCTAGTAGAATACGTGACTGTCTATCCTCAGATATAACTGCCCAACTACTAGGAGGGCAACTTAATCCTGCCAGTGGAAAAAATAATAACACATAAATAACTTACAAATCTATAAAATACATGTACTATATATAGTACAGCTTTCATAAGAGATTGTGCAAGTCTTACTTCATCGTCGCATTTGCATTGTATCACGCTTGCATATAGCTGGTGTGATGCAGTGTTATTACATGATAAACAACTGGACATCTTTGTAGTATTAAACAAGCAGCCTGTCGGCTGAGATAGCTCCGCTATTAGCAATGCACATTGAAATTAAAGAACAGAAGATATCATTAGAAAATGAACAATATGTATAATATCAAAGCAATAGGACTTGCTGTTTTCAACAAGAATTAAAAAATATCACTTTTCACCAAAAATATTCATCAAAATTAGATAATTGAAGATATCACCACGAAATGAACAAAATCTGAGAGAGGTCCACATGTAGTACTTATATGTATAATATCAAAGCAATTGGACTTGCAGTTTTCAACAAGAAATTGAAAATATCCCTTTTCAGCAAAAATGGCGAAAATATTCACTGAAATTAGAGAATTAAAGATATCATTATGAAATGAACAAATCTGAGAGAGGTCTACCCAAGGTACATATACACCAAGTATCAAAGCATTCAAGCTTGTAGTTTTCAAGAAGAAGTCGAAAAGGTAAAACATTGACACGGACGCCGACGGACAATCACTCATATGATAAGCTCCGCTCGACAAAGTCGACAGCAGAGCTAAAAATTGTGTACATCATTATTAGGCATTATCTAATTGTTATGTATTGTACACTATGGATAAGAATGGTCAGAAAAAAAGGATGAATAACTAACTTTCTAAATAAAAAATATTAATAGAAAATATAGAATCCCACACCTAAGTAATGAAGATTTTTCACACAAGTTTTCCTTTTGAAATTTGTTAGTGAGAGTAATTTTGTTCTCATCAACAAAGTTAAAAACATATAGTCCACTGGTGAGAATAAAATCTGCTGCTTTCTCTTTAGTGATAATAGAAACACTGAGGGATAGGAATGGAAAAAGCTGTGTGTTTTTTTCAAAATAAAATAGTTAAATGAAAACCACTGTAAGTTAACAGAAAATTGTTGGTTGAAATTTGGAACTTTACGGATTGTGAAATGTAGTAGTTCTAAACATCTGTGAAGGAGAAAGATCCACTGTGATAAATTTTAAAATTAAGTTTTCAAATCACCATACTTCTAAACAAGCAGAATCATTAAACAGGTGAAATCATTATAAACCAACGTTACCTGGCACCTCTGCCATTTTTCGAATTCTAGGTTCTTCTATGTTGTTTACCACAAACAACTTAAAACTATTAGTAAGAATTGCTAAACCTGTGCCACTGTGACTGCGAAATATACGACAGTCTAAGACTTTCATATCTTTGGCTTCCTGCAGGAATAAAAAAGTAAAATATACATGACAGATAAATATGTATACAAGTAAGTATCGTAGTAGTTACTGTAAACTGCTTTATGTTTGGAAGACACAAATTTTCCTTAATTTTCTGATTCATTGAAAATTGCAAAAGTCTACCGAGAAACCACAAAAGAAAAGGTGCAACACAGTCATAGTTGCACACACCACTGAAATGTACAGGTTATAACATGACAGGGTCTTGAGATCACAAGGTACACACCTACAAATTTTAGTGTCAGTGTCAGAAAAATTGGCATACATGTGTACACTGTATGCAGTTCTATATATTACATTCTAAAATCTGTGTCAAATGAACCAACTCTACTGTAAACCGCTGATTTTCAATGCGAAATTTGATGATTTTATAGCATTTGTGACAACAAAAATGTTTGGAAGTCCATGACATAAAACCCCAGAGAAAATGTCATGGAAACAAAATTTCATTACTGTCACTGATATGTGAAATTCATATCAATTTGCTGAAAGCAAACTACACATTTGAAAAAAATTATGTAAACAAGACACCCAATCAGGTTTCTATATATTATATGTACACATCTTCTATTATTGAAACAGAGACATGATTTGAATTATACCATTACCTGTCCCATGCTGAATGTTCTCTTGAATACTCCAAATATATCATATACCAGCACACTGCCATCGTCTTGAACACAGAGTAAGTCTTCATTACTTGACCAGCCAAGGTGGATTACATGGCCACTATTCCACTGAAAAATAAATATTCGATTCTTCATAATGAATGCTGAACCCAATCTCCCGGGCAGAGTTCTATTTCTATGACAATATCTCTGCAACCATGCAAACTTATGCATGTTATTGATTGGTTAATGTGTCACAGTGGTACTACTTTCAAAGATGCCCACAAAAACATTGCCATGCAGGTGTTAAATTTTTCAAACCCAACGAAAGTATATGCGTTGTTTGTAGATTCTGGCTGTTTTCAGAGAGAGAAGTTCCTTTTTACTTTCCGTAGCACAAACGGAGTGGCAGTTGGACCAGTTAACTGTCAATACTATAAAGTGCTTTTGTTTGTTCTTCGACTGGCAATCGATGGGACAGTCAGCACAATAAACCGAATAACACCTTAGTAACCACTATTCCATGATGAAATTATTTTCTTTTGTAAATTATAAATATGGTGTTCTAGCTGCAAGGATCTCTGGGACAGAGACTGTGCTGAACCATTCCACGTCATCACAGTTCAAGTGTGTTATATAATTGACAAATAGGAATATTACAGTGACATTGCAGAACCCGGACTTAATTATCAACCTTCTTATTCATGTTTAATACTCACCCTAATATCCGAGATATGTCTACCAGACGCTGAGTAAATATAAATCATTGGTTTTGTAGAGGTTGTTCTCATACTCTTGGAATCATCTCTGATCAGTGCTAAAGTGAAAATAATATGAGGTTATTAATAGGATACTGCAAAGTATGCACAAAGACAGTACAGCAGGGGTATCAACCGACGCACAGCGGAGGTTGATGCAACAGCGTATTGTTAGAGTGCATACTTTGAGGTATCCTCGTAATAACCTTATTATTATACATCTTTTCCTCCCAATGATACAATGTAAATTATGGGAATGTTGAAATCCAAAAAGTTTAGAGCAGAATCAGCGAACTTCTTTGTATCAGGTTTGGTCAATCCCTGGGGCAGCTATGTTTGTTTTTATTATTAGAGAACGCTTACGCATGTAATTTACATACACTGGCAGAAACCTCACATCAGACCTTATAACTTTATGGCCCAATCTATAGAGGCCATTCTCCAAAGTAGGACTACCACAAACCAAGCATGCAGTTATGTTATTCTCATTTTCGTCACCGGGATAAATAACACTCTGCCAATCACTTGACTCACAATCTCCTAATGTTCAGTTTATTCATGTGACGTCACTGAATGTAAGTGAATCAGTATCCACTTACCAATGGGGCCACCATAAGGTGCAGCAGCCACTTTGAACATTGATAAATCAATGTCTTTCCATCCCATGCTATACAACTCAATTTTCCTGCAAAATAAACAAAAATAAATTAAATATTATGAAACTAGAATATATTGACCATTGTGCCCTCAAAGCATTTGGAAAAAAAATGATATTTTTAAACAAACACATATACATTGCCTCATTGTAACCGAGAGATACACAAAAATAAAACAAATCACGGGCCGAGAATTATACAAGTAAGAAAAACCACAGTCCTCTAAAAGACTAAGGGATTGTTATCAAACACAAGATCAAAACATCGTTCCCTGCAGTGGGTTTAATATTATTCGTTGGTAGAAAATACATATATTCTATGCAAAATCGTCATACAGTTGTATG